GCCGCTTCTTCTAGCTAGGCTCTCTGTTCTGGTGCCCCTTTCACTTAGCAAAAACCAGAGTTAGCCACCCTAACAGAGTGACGTGTGTTGCGGGGGTTGATTCTCAAGTTTGTGCGTAGCTCATTCCCTTGGTCGCTGTGAATTTTGTCTACGCTGCTGCCTGCGGTCACCTACGCGCGGGCGTTTGCCGTGAGCATTTTAATCGTGTAAATGTGGAGTGATCCCCCTTCATGTACGTCTCCTGGACGCTCTGGCGCGTGGGTTCTCAAACTGGGTTCGGTGAGCGACTGAACGCTTGCAACATGCTCTCGGTTTACCTCCATTAGTGACTAATTTATTTATACAAGCGATTTAAAAGGTCGTCACGCACCTAATTCGCACATCGGTGTCTGCAGGTGGCGAAAGACATGAAAGATTAACTTGCACGATTTGAGAGCCCGTGGTAACAGAACACGCATTCAAATCACTTGAAACTATATTAACGGGCGTCTCTGCGCTTTATTCGTGACTCATGACGAGTTGGCAATCATGTGGTACAGTTTTCATAAACTGATTTTCCACTGCTTCGTTTTATAACTGAAACTCGCTACGAGCGCTTGAATAAGCGTTGCTGCATGCCTGCGCTGGGCTAGACGAGCTTTTAGGCTTAGCTTTATGTCCGAATGGTGCGGCGGTTGGCGGCTGTTCTGCAGCGTGACTGGACTGACATACCTCCTTTTTTCGTTTTTTCTTTCCCTTTTTCTTCAACAATTTGGTCTCTGCGTTTGGCTCTTCGTTTCGTGAGGCATGCGGAGCCTTACGGGATTTGGGAAGCACCATCGCTAGGAGTTCTACGTGAACGGGGCTAGTACAGGCCAACTTGGGCAGTATTATTAACGCCTGGTTGCGCGTCGAGCGGCGTTATCACCTAGTACCATATTCGCTTAACACTTTGTGCCATATGTTTGCGCTTGGTGCGGCAAGGTTTCTTTGCTCCCGCACTGCGCTCATGAAAATGGTCAAGTGCGAGGTGGCCGCTAACAGCGGTGCAGCACACTTTTGTCTGTTAAAAGCGTGCAGTGCACTGGGGGAGACGAGAGGCAATGTTATGCGAACCACCCAGCTTAGCAGATAGACGTACAAAAAGACAACACAGTAATAGGCTAAATCATGTCACTGTTCTTAGGCGAAATCCCATATATATATATATATATATATATATATATATATATATATATATATATATATAGTTCAGTATAGTGCAGTTCAGACCTGGCTATAATCTGTTAAAAAGTTTTCTTCAAAGTCTGTTTCAGTGTTTGCGTGCTAACTGCTCCAAAGCAAGGTTCGTCTGCTCCAAAAGTGGAATTTTGCCTGCTCCAAAAACTGCTCGCAATTCAGTCTCGGCCGTCTCACCCCTGGTCCAGCCATTCATCATGGTGCTGTCAGTTACTTATAAAACTAAAGAATTGCGACGTTTCTTTGGCAGTTTGGTTGGGCCAGTGGCTATTTAGTAGTTCATTTGGTAGTGGAAACAAAACTCGTGGAGGAATTTGAAGTGTGTACTTCGTCACATACCTTCAGACTGGCATATTTCTGCATCACCTATGATGCAATTGAATCTGCACATCTTTCAAGGCTGTTGTTTTACAAGTGGTGAAATGTTGCATGGAATGTACCCAGCAAATTTCATTGATGTCCACTTAACTCGAAAAACGGGTAGAGTTGACTTTCAAATTTTTCTGGCTGTGGCCTGTGTCAATGGAAGTGGCCTGTGTCAACAAAAGTGGCATCATGAACACTGATTGTCGTCTGTATGTTTAAAAAAAATTATTTCTGTTCATTTGTAATGCTTAAAATATGCTTTGTATTGGTGCTTTATAATACAGCGCACATACATTCATGCTTGAGTAGAATGCAATAAATGGGTATTTATTATTCAGTAAGCACTCGTTGCTCCATAAAACTCTGAAAAACCCTTGAATTTTATGGCATATTCGGTTGGGCGCTTACTGGTTGGGTTGGGTTGGGCTCTGATGTGCTCTGAAAAGTGGTTTCATGTATGGTTGGTAGAATTCGAGCGCTTGGGTTACCTTCGACTGGTTTTTCAGAGCATTAGCCTCAGACTCTGGAGTGCTCCCAACTGCTCAGACTTTGAAGTGAGAGCGTGGCACAATCTGACTGGGAGGACGGATCACAGGACATAAGCTGGCAAATCGCGTGGCTGCTGGCAGGTGAACCGGGTGAACTGCACCAACAGTTCGAGCACGCATTTCAGAATGGGGACACCGCCAGGCGCATAATACTTCCTGCACGTGCATTGTTAGTGGCGTTTTTGAGTGTATGGGGCGAGTTCACATCTACGAAGCCATAAATGCACCGCGTCAAAATAGAGGCGGCTAGCAAAAGCGGAAGAAATGTAAATGCTGTCGTTACAGCAGCTCACATACAGCCACGTGATTTGCCTTACATAGCAGATCTGATAACGATTGCCAGATTTATGTGCTGAGCTCGGAAGGCTTTCGCTGTGTCCAGACATCTCTGAGATGACCACTGAACTGATCAGCGCCATTTGTGGCTGCACCGCAGGAAATTTTTGCCCAAAGGCTTCTCGCATTGGCCGCACGGCGGCGCTATAGGACCTTCACTGCTCCGAGATCGCTGACACATTCGGTTGGTACGCTGCCTCTCGCGCGCCGATTGCAAGCTGACTCTGCATCTAGTGACTCTGAGCCAGAGGACTGGAGCGGCCAACCGAATACACCATTACACAGTAGACTCGCGATAATTCAAACTCTGATAATTCATAGTTTTGGTTAATTCAGACAAAGTTAAAATTTTTGGTTGGCCCTCTTTTTTTCAATCGGTTAGTAGCCAATGGGTTAGTAGCCCAGGTAATGACCCACAAAAGATTTGAAGAGATAACAAGCCACCTGCGTTTTTTCGATAATGAAGCGGCCGATGACAAAGTAAAAGAAGACAAATGCTGGAAAGTGCACCCATGGCTCAATTTCTTGCGCAGCAACATGGTTGTCTTGCCCCAAGAAACAAAAAAATCTGCAGTGGACGAAATCTTGATCCCCTTCCGTGGGCGGTGTTACATTCGTCAGTACATGCCTAATAAACCAAAGAGTAAATGGGGTCTAAAACTTTGGGCACGTTCTGGGGAATCGGGTCTGTGTTATGATTTCGAGCTCTACCAGCGCTGCAACAAAGGTTTTTATGGCAGCCAGGGTGGCTACCAGCTTGGGTTGGGAGCTGGGATCGTGCTCCAGCTATGTTCCAGCCTCTCGAAGCGAGACAATCTAGTCATCGCTGATAACTTTTTCACAGGCCCTCGGCTTGTAGAGCAGCTTTCAAGAATGGGAATTTTTCATATTGGCACGGTTCGTGAAAGCACTCATCTACAGCAAGTTGATGGATGAAAAATCGAGGTCTGGGCGCCTGTGATACTTCAGTCACTTCTTGTGACCAAAAGACAATGGTGGCAGTGAAGTGGCATGACAACTGCACTTTTACTCTCCTTTTGAATTGCATTGGTGCTGACCCGCTTACATCAGTCAAAAGGTGGGGCAGCAAGGAGAAAAATCACATTTTTGTCGATCGTCCAGCGATAATTCCTGCCTACAACAGATCAATGGGTGGCGTGGATCTTCTTGACAAAATGTGCTTCTCGTATAGTTTTTCTGTCGGGTCTAAACGCTGGTATATGTATTTGTTTTGACACACCCTCAAAATAGCTGCTGTTAATGCATGGTTCATGCGCAAGAAAATTCTCCAGCAGCACAAATTGCCGCCCACACCTTTGAGAGAATTCCTCTCTGAGCTCGCAACGAGTCTGATCTAGCTCAACAAACGACTACCAGGGCGCCCTTCAATTCATAATGTCGGGCTACTCAAGAAAGTGTGCCTAAATGTCCCCCCGTGATGTCGGAAGAGATAGCAAGGAGCACTGGCCCACATGGAATGCAAAACGGAACCGCTGCAAGGCATGCCCAGGGGGGTACACCTATGTTTCCTGTGCCAAGTGTAAGGTGATGTTGTTTCAACAAAGACTGTAACTGTTTTGCAAGTTTCCACCAGTAGGCGACAAACAGCTATGCTTTGAGCTTTGTGCTTTCTTCAATTTGAAAATTCGTCAAAATTAATGGTGGCAATAAAAAGTTTTTTCTCTTTGCTTGGCCTCCATTTTATGCAACATCCCATTAATAATTCGCAGACTAAATCAAGTTTTTCATTGAACACTTGCACTACTAGTGACTCTAAGAACATAAAGAAATATTTTGAAGTTTTGAAAAGTGTTTCTCATACTGGGAATCAATGGGTTAATTCACACTTGATCATTCGGTTAATTCATACTTTTTGCAGTTCCATACCAGAAAATATCTGCTGCTTTCTCACTATTTAAAATTTTGCATGCTTATATAATCCTAACAGTCCAGAAATTAAAAGTGCCTCGGGCCTTCAAGGAAAAAGGCTTTGCGAGTAAACGAATGTTTGAAACTAAACTAAGTGCACGCATGGTATGTCGTGGATCTCAACTGGTGTAGAGAGCTTTGGGCTGAAGGGCAATATAGCAAAGAACCAGTTGGCGATTCCAGATTTCTTTAAGAGGTCTGATCAGCAGTAAATGGCAGATAAACTTGTGAACCTTACACTTATGCTTTCTGTTCAGTGTGTGCAGTTAGGGTATAAAAATACTCTTAAAAATTTTTAAATGTGATAAATTCAATGCCCAATTATGTGTGGTCTCACCTCACCCAGAGTCATCTGAGAACTTCTAATAAATCAAACAAAATTCAGAGGTCTCTACAAGCTTGAATTAAATAGTTGACTATACTAACATTTTTAGGGCCTTGAAAACCTTGAAAATCATTTGAATTTTATTGGTAGACATTTAGCCATCTCATTGTCAATAATGGCAAAACATTAGCAGCATTATTCTATTTAAAACAAGTGTTTTTAAACAATTTGTACTCTTTGGAGTGAATGTACATTGATGCGTGACAATTTTTTTGCAGGGTGTCATTAGAAGATTTATACAATGGTAAAACAGTGAAACTTGAAGTGGACCATACTGTTATTTGCAGGACCTGTGAAGGGTAAGTGCTATGGCCAGGGTGCACACAGGTACTTGAAGTCCTTGAAAACCTTCGAAATAAAAAAATTCGTTTTCCAGGCCTTGAAAGTCCTGGATTTTCGTACAAGTCCCTGAAAACCGTTGAATATTGGGGATTTTCGCAGGGTTTAATTGTACGACTCGCAATTCACAGCAGTTGAGCGTGGTGCCGGGCAAACATCATTGCTTATCGCTTCCCACGATTACGAAGTCTGACACAGTCAAACCGCCCGTATGAGATGACGGCATGCGCACTCCCGCAGCGCCATTTATCTTTATCTGGCTTGCTTTGGTTTTGTTTGGTGAGAAGCCATAAGCTGATGGCCACAATGAGGCTACAGATTTTGAGTTCAGGGAAAAAGTTTGCACGAATGCGCTTATTGCTGTAGACTATACTAGTGCTTAAGAGGTTTTCTTCTGGCTTCGCTTAGTGGTATCCCAGCAGCAACATGCAAAAAAAGTGCAGCACACACTCGCTAGCCTCTGCCACCTCAGTATCATCTGTTGGCCACATTGTACTTTGCAAAATATCCCGGCTGCGGCGGCTGCATTTCCGATGGAGGCGGAAATGTTGTAGGCCCGTGTGCTCAGATTTGGGTGCACGTTAAAGAACCCCAGGTGGTCGAGATTTCCGGAGCCCTCCACTACGGCGTCTCTCATAATCATATAGTGGTTTTGGGACGTTAAACCCCACATATCTATCAATCAATGTTGGCCACATTGTAGGCTATATAGCTTGTCGGTGCTTGCTCGTGCTCCGGTGTTTTGTTTTGCACATGTTGGTTGCTGTGTGCTTTGTGATCGCATGATCGTGCATGCAGGTGGCATTATTTGCAGCAGTGCCTGGGAAATGCAGGTTAGAGCACCTGGCTCAGCAACGATAATTATAAGCGTTGGATTGCGCCGGATGTATTGGACACACACCGTGCAAAATGCACATTGTGCAAAAAGAGCTTTGACGTCGCTTCTATGGGTGAATCCGCTCTCAAAAGCCATGCAAAAAGCACCAAGCGTAGTGGAATTGTGTCAGCTGGAAACTTTATGCAGACCTACCTGACGGCAAGCTCAAGGGAGCGATCCATTAACTCGGCTCCATCCCAAGCGACCGATTTTAAGGCAGTTTCACATGCCGCGACTGCAGCGAAAAAAATTGTTCCGTTCGCTTCAATCGCTATGTTCGCAACCTCTGCTAATGGCGGTTTCCTTTCACATGGACCGCGAACAGTCCGCGATTTTCACTCTGCGACTGGAGCGGCAAGTTCTTGCCACCGCTCATTGTGGCTGTCATGAATATAATGTAATATTTGCATTATGATATCATGAAGTTTCCAGGAACACCAACGAAGAGCTCGCTTGTTTCGTCATTTAAGTACACTTTTTAGTCTAAATTCAGTTTAAAATGCACAGCATCGGCCATTACCAAAACAAACACGTCGACTCTATTTTGACGGCTTGGCCGGACCAGCCCTATTTCGATGGGTCCCGACCAAAAATCTCTCCCGCCGCTGTGATCAGAGCGAAAAATTTTACATGTTGGAAGCTCGTCGGGGACCGCTGCGATGGGAGCAAACTGCCCTTTTTCGCTGCAAGCGTATTCACAGCCTGAAAATCGCTGCTTTTTGTCATGTGAAACGGCCTTTAGCAGCGCCTGCACGTGGCACGAGGTTGTCGCCTGTGCCGAAATTCTGTGGACACTGAAAGTGATTACATCCCACTACTCATACAGACCATCGGCACAAAGTGGCGACTTGTTCAAGCGAATGTTTTCTGACAGGTGGCCAAATCATTTTCTTGTGGTGGGAAGAAATGTGCGTATGTTGCGTGCCGTGGACTGAGGCCATTTTTCTTGTCGTGCTTGCGAGAATAGGTATAGAAGTCCGAATATTACGTCATACTTTTTGACGAGTCGATGAATGACTTCTTGCAAGAAAAGCAAATGGTCGTGCATGTGAGATATTGGGACTCGGCACACAAGGTGGTCACTAGCACCTCTGTTTTCATGGGGCACTCCACAGCAGACGATGTGCAGAACGTACTACTGAAGGCTTTGGAGCCTTTGCTACTTAGCAAGATTCTTCAGATATCCATGGACGAGCCAAATGTCAACCTTAAGTATTTTAGGGACATGCAAGCTCATTTTCAAGAGAACCACCAAGTCCATTGTGTCGTCTTCGGGACGCCTCGCCACGGTGGTCTAGTGGCTAAGGTACTCGTCTGCTGACCCACAGGTCGCGGGATCAAATTCTGGCTGTGGCGGCTGCATTTCTGATGGAGGCGTAAATGTTGTCGTGTGCTCAGATTTGGGTGCGATAAATGACGTTAAAGAACCCCCAGGTGGTTGAAATTTCCTGAGCCCTCCACTACGGTCTCTCGTAATCATACGGTAGTTTTGGGACGTTAAACACCACATATCATCATCGACTTGAGAACTTGTGGCCTCCATACCGTCCATAATGCTTACAAAGCAAGCATCGCAGCCTCTAAGTGGGGCATCGACATTCTACTGTCAAGCATGAGTGCACTCTTCCATGACACCTGCACGAAGGGATTGTTTTTCAACCGTGACTACCCAGAACAAATTTCCTCTGCCGTTTGTGTCCCATCGATGCGTGGAAAACACAATTGTGATTGAGAGAGCTTTGCTTCTTTGGAATATGAAGAAATATGTGATGTCTGCAAGAAGCAAGCAGGCGAGCTTACCGAAGTGTGCATTCTTTGAAAATGTGCATAGCTTTTGTCACGACTCCTTGACATGTCACTGGCAAAACTGAACTTCGCCCTCAGTGTTGAATTGACTATTCAGCCATTCTTGAAAGACTTTCAATCTGACAAACCCATGATCTTCTTTCTTGGGAGAGATCTTGAAAGTATTGTGTGGAAGCTCCTTTCAAAATGCACGAATGCCTCAGTGTTGTTGTTATTGGGTGGAGTTGGTCTGCTGAGGGTGGAGGTTGATAACCCCATTAACCACATTTCTCTTATATTGGTCCCAAGTGTGAACAAGCACTGAAGGGTTCAAAAGCTAGTGCAAAGGATGCATTTCGTTTCAGAATGGAGTGCAAGCAATTTTTGGTAGTTGTGGCCAAGAAAATACTGGAACGAAGTCCCTTGAAGTCATCTTTGGTTCGAAACCTGTCTGATCTAGACTCCCAGCTCATGTGCTCAAAGCCAGATCAGTGCCTGCTGGACCTAAGAAAGGTGCTAGACATCTTGACCATAGCAGGAAGACTGAGTGACAGCCGGCGGGAATGTGTGCTTGCAGAGTACACCGAAATGCTGGAAGAGTTCAAGCATGAGCTTTGTCTCTTTGAGAAAAGCGTTAACAGACTGGACGAGTTCTTTCGCGAACTCTTGAGCTTCTACCCTTCCTATAAAGAGCTATGGGAAACAACCAAGCTCCTTCTTGTTCTTAGCCATGGACAAGCAAGTGTTGAACGGTGGTTTAGCGTCAACTGCCAAATCTTTGTAGAGAACTTCAAGGGCTTGCGTATATTTTGCAGCGTGTCATATGTGACTTGGTGGAAAGGGCAGGTGGCATTTTAAATGTCGCCATAAGAGCTCAAATTGGCTGTTTCCGCAGCGAGGCTGCACACACTTAGAATCGAAGAAAAAGTGCCAAGAAAGTGCAAGTCGGACAAAAACACGCCTGATTATCCAGGAAGTTGAATGCATGCAGCTGAAGAGAAACTTGAAGCAGTTGTTGCCGATTTAATTACCTCTGTTGAAGACTTTGCTGAAAAGGCAGAAGCGACTGGTGACATCAATATTGACTTTCGCAGTCTTTCGCAAGCTGTTACATGCTTGAACTTGATAGCATTATGACTCGTATAGAAAAAAAAACTGAGACCTGCCCTGAGCTTCCAAACTTCTAGTCTAGTGAAACTGCAATAAGCGAACTGAACATCCATTCTTTTGTGCAGTAAACTTAATTGGGAACTACAATCGTGTTATTTAAATTTGTTGAAAGGTCCTTGAAAAGTCCTTGAATTTTTCTCTTGGAAACCTGCACGAACCCTGTATGGCACTACTGATTTATGGCTTGCCCAATGCCTCCTTTATTTTTTTCAATGCCATTGCAAACGCACGATTCTCAATGGGAGCCGTTGGTCTGTCTTAATTCGGGGAGTGGTCATGATGCAGCGCTGTGTGAGGGGGGCACTGCTTGTGTCATACGTGCGTTCGAGCACTTCCCCCAAAGATGTGATAGATGTTTCCCACACTAATATTATACGTTCGTCGGGTTCGCTTCTTCATGCTGCTTCTTTCTGGCTCGAGACAATGCTGCCGCTGCATCACAGCAGCATATTCAGAAACGTTGCAGTGATGCTTCCTCTATGGTTGCCCGCATAGCGCCACCAACGGCGACACGCTTTCTCAGAACACAGTATATTTCACAGAGCCAACGTGACTGCCAATATCGGGAATACAAGGAATGAAAGTTGCCGCCCCGCAGATCTGTACACAACTGAACAAAAATTACTTCTTACGGTTTCTGTCGAGAGGCACTGCATGAGGGGTTACTCTCCTCCATGACCGCAAAGAACACGTGTAGGCTAGGCGATGTGAGAATGGGAAAGGGCAAGAGGAGAGGGTTTCGTGAGCAGCTGGATCGGGCGTATCTGGCTGGCATTGATAAAAATAGGCGGTGTTGGCTTACCTTATCCATAGTTCTGTGGGACTGCATTCATACATTCCTGTTTCGCATGATTTTCCTGTAGGAATGCTCGTGATTGAGAACACTGAAAATGACCCTTCAAGTTTTTTTTCTTCATCTTTTAATATTTTTCTGGCAAACGCTATTACTCTGCACCATCATTCCATTTATCGCCAAAGTAATACTCGTTCTTGCCGCTCTTTCATGTGCAATAGAAAAGTGTTCAAGTGGGTGCTGTCGAGAGAAGTAGCTGCCCTCTGTGGCAGCTTTCAGCGTTTGGCCTCTTATGTATATAAATTAAATGTTGACGCACTCTCTTGCCACACTAGCACATTGCAGCATTGTCCTTTACACATTGAATTCACAGCCATCAGTGCCAACTCTATCACACTAAGCATACATTTAACAGCATGTGTTTAGTTGTACAGCTGGTAATGTGTTTCAGTAGACTCTCGGGAAAGGGAAAATTTGAAAGGAGCTGCTGCTTAAACAGTACTACTACTAACTTTTATACGATTGGTTGCACACTTGGATTCTGCACTCCTCTACATCTCTATGTAAATGGAACTCCTGTTAAATGGAACACAATTTTGGTCTCTTCTCGTTCCGTGTAACTTTCCCATTGACAACAATGGGGAATCTTAAGGCAGGAGCTGTAGTATGGCCCAATGGGAAGATAGCCGCCAGTGGGAAACTTCAAAAACTTTCTTCCTTAACACAAAAATTCTAATGAAAAAATTTGCCACATAAAGAGAACTGTTTATTTGCCTTCGATTAAGATATAAAGGTGATTTCTAAGTGGACCACCACATGGTGCAATGGACAAAAATGACTATTGTGAAATTTAGGATTTTTTGTTAAGTTTTAGCAGCTTCAGAGGTCTAAAAATATTTTTTTTTCTCAGTGTATACCTTCTGTGAAGTAAGCATTCATTGCTCAAATATTCAAAAGTACAGTCGACGTTCGATTTCCCGGACCCTCAAGGGTCTGCAAAAACATTCGGAAAATCGAGCAGTCCAGAAAAACGAATGCACGTGAAAACGCACCTTTTCTTGTAGGCATTCTTCGCTGACAGAGGGTAACGGCCGGAGTACAAGATTCCCATTGCAATTCAACCGATGCATCGTTTAGGTGGCTCTGAAAAGAGCAGTTTATAAAAGAATAAAAATTCGACGTGGCCGGCGCTGTCTCAGCACTTGGGCGCAAAGAAGTCTCCTATTTTCTTTTGCACGGCATTCCGCTTGCTTGCGATCATGTCTGCCTCAATTTCAGTTAACATGTTGCCGTTGCCAAAATTGCCGGCGGCGGCGTGCCGGTGTTTTAACATCCAGCGGCGGTGCGTGATCGGTACGGGGCTAATAGGATCGGTGGCGGCGTGGAGGGGGGGGGGGGAGTATACTCCAAAGTGAGAAGAGAGCGAAGAGTCATTCAAATTAAGAAAAATAGAAATTCGCCAATACCATGGAAATAGGGGCTGTTTTCAGCAAAGCTCTGTATTGCTAGATTCCTCTTCAGTTCTGTGCAGTGCGCGGGTGGTGTTCCGTGGCTTCGGAGTATGGCAGTGGAAGCCACTTTCATTTTCCTGTGCAGCTCCTCGCCCTTTTTAGCAGGAATTGGATAAGGGCTAAGAAACCATTATCACCAAGATGAAAGCATCCAATATAGAGAAGCGCCTGGCGAGCTTTCCGCTAGGGAAACGAGCATGTGCTGCCGTACAGGGAAGGGGTGGATTGGAACCACCAATGTATGTGCCTCAGTTTCTTATGACGTCAATATCATACTAGCAGCATTATGAGCTGTTGTGAATACATTTTGACATGACTAGCACACACATTGCCAGTACTCACATGAAGCACATGTGAACGAATTTTGTTCACATGAGTGTAACTTCGCACGTCCCTTCTCGTGTATTTGTCTGACTTTCAGCAAGAACGTGCCTCATGTCAATGTGGCTCATGTCCAAGCACATCTAATTGCTTTATGCCACAGTGACCCCAAAGCAATGGTTACCGTAGTGACAAAAAAAATAAGACGGTATGAAGGACTCAACGTGGTTGCAAAACGACAACGAAGCTACGTGAACGCCCCTCGATGAACCTCCCGGCGTTAAAAAGAAATGGTTACCGTAGTGACAAAGAAAATAAGACAGTATGAAGGACTCAACATGGTTGCAAAAGGACAATGAAGCTACGTGAACGCCCCTCAGTGAACCTCCCGGAGTTAAAAAGAAATGGTTACCGTAGTGACAAAGAAAGTAAGACGGTATGAAGGACTCAACGTGGTTGCAAAATGACAACAAAGCTACGTGAGCGCCCCTCAGTGAACCTCCTGGCGTTAAAAATCTTTGTTCTGCACTGAATGGTCTTTACAGCGGTGAGAGAGTTCTGTTGTAACGAACCACTGCTTTTACGATCTTTCTGCGCATGAGCACACACACGTGCCTGCCTTTGGTATAAAGTGTTTAATGTTATATACAATCTTTTTATTTCCATAAATTGATGATGCATGTTTATTTTCACCATTTAGAAAAATTTCTTCATTATTTGCTAGCGCCTAATCTGGAAGAATTCTTAGCAGTGTATAATACCCCAGTTCGGTTCAACTTGTCGCGGTTTTGGGTCATCAAGGTCACGCAGAGTTCCTGCAATCGGCTTTATATATGGAAGAATGAAGCATGTCTTTATTGAGAATAAGTTCATGCCACTTTGTTTTATTCTCGTTGAACAAGCGCTGTGAATGCCAAGAACGAAATCCACCCAAAGCAGATACGAAGTTTGAACGTTCCATCAATCCCATTGTGGTTAGAGAGCCTGGTGTCTATCCTGTTAATACATAGCTTGGAATCTAGGAACCCAGTGTTCATAACTCCTACACAAGAAGACAAATAAGACAACTACACACGCTGGGGCTTGTGGTCATGTGTTTTTTTGGAGGCCGAGTTCTTCGATTTCAAGCTATGGTGGTCGAAGCGCCATTCAATTAGCCTCGCGTACATTTCAAAAAATTAATTTGAGTGCAAACACTGGACACATTCACGCACGCACACAACCAGACATAAAACATGCACAATGCTGTGTTTGTGTGTGTGTGCGTGAATGTGTAGTGTGTTTGTACTGAAATTGATTTTTTGCACTGATCTATCAACTAGCCCAACCAGTTCTACTCTCATAGACACTCGAGCCAGATTTAACTCTAGGTTTGGTGGTATGATTTTGTACGCTGAACCTGTGGCCTTCTCAATCGGCATCATCACTGCGCTTGCCGATCACCCAGGACACTGTAATGTGAAAACACTCGCTGGCTTTGGTAGTTTTGGTAAAAGCGGGGCGACTGGTGTGGCCAGAGCATTCAAAATTGTGCGCCGTTGTGAGACTTCACCATGTGGTGTTAGCGCATTCACCGCGGCGTCATGGTAAAAAAAAAAAAAGACCACATGTTAGCATCCACCAACTCGGTGGATGCTGAAGGTCGGGAAACATGATCACTAAAGATAGCGCGCAGCAGCAAACGATCAACTGCAGACACTACCGCAGAGCTGACAAAACAACACGTGAACGAACACGGTGAGGTTTGGCTTGGCTAAGCCGCTAAGCTAAGACTGGCAACTGATTGACACGTGCGGTTTCGACGTTACGGCAGCCGTGGCGCAATGCGGGGATTGGCAGTGCGAGAATATGAAAACAACCAAAATGGCAGCGTCACTGGTGACTTTGGGTCGGTGGTTAACAGTAAAAAAGTCCAGGAAATTGAATGCCGAAGGCTATAAGCGTCCGAAATTTCAGACTCTTTAATACATTGAATCTATGCAGAACTTGACCATGCCACAGATGGAAATCTGGCATTGTAATAGAAGAAATTCAGACATAACATATTACGGCTAAATGTGTGAAAGTGTATGTGGCACAAAAATTGTATTATTACCTAGGTTCAAACACCTTATACAAGCACCTTTACTTAACATGTAGACAAATTTGGTATATAAAGTAGGAGTGGTACTTTTAAAATTAATTTTTTCGCGAACAACACCCAGACAACATTCTGGGAAGTTTAGAAGGCCGCCATGTGATGAAAAATTTTGTTCTCTCTGAAATATTTTAGCAGTTAACAGTTTTGAGTGCGGTAAATCGGCATACTTTTTTACCTTTAATTGCCGTATTTGTGGGGAAAACTGCCTGTGCTGTGGCACTAGTGGGCTTCAGTATTAACTTTCTTGTGCTATGATAACATAGAGAAAGAAGTCTCGTTGTTTCTGTAAAATGTATTACAAAGTGTAGCCACTGTATTAGCACAATGTGCTAGTTGCCTGGGCATGTCCTGGTTCTTGCCAATTGATAAAATATGCACACCCATACGCAATGAGTCGTGCTATTCTTGAGCACCGATGTGTTGACCTCCTGCCCTCCTACTTCACGTCACCATGCAGTTCTCGTACTCGCGTTCAGGTTTTTTTGTATGCAATTGCACGAGTCTCTTTTGTGCCAATGTTGCTGTTACACTTGTAGATATAATTTATTTGCATCCAGGTTATAATATGTCTCTTTTGTGCCAATGTTGCTGTTACACTTGCAGATAGAATTTATTTGCATCCAGGTTATACTATGTGTTGAACTTGTTTGTAACACTATTACAATGTAATTTTCAGGGTAGGGGGCCGAACTGGCTCAGTGATAACTTGCCAAGGCTGTAGAGGTCAAGGATTCAAGGTGACATTCAAGCACATTGGTCCAAACATGATGCAGCAAATGCAGTCCACTTGCCCAGACTGCCATGGGGATGGTGAGTGTGTTTGTGAAGCATGCATGTTTTATAACAGCAACGTTGTCAGGAGCAGGATTATGCAACTTGTAGAACTCGCTGTCTTAGGTGCTTGTTCCACTATAGACAGTGATGGAAGGACTACTCCAAACCAATTGGCAGTAACTGCTCCAAACCTGCTCGAAAACGGCACTGAGAGAATTAGAATGACGAACTTTTACTGTTTAATTAGCTCATAAGTCCTAACAAAACTAAAAAAAATCCTTACACTATCATCCCAGTATGCTACTAGTGTGCAGCGTTATTGGCTCTGATCTCATTTGTGCAACAGGAACTGGCACGTTAAGCATGCAGCTCATTTGGCAGTTTTTTTTTTCCTAGCTAGACTTGGAGGCTAGTGTGGGGAAATATAAAAGTTAGTAAGATTGCTTTTATTTCACACCAATTATCTGCTGCTTATTTGGAGACAGTTATGTAGGACAGTGGCTACTTTTAAAATGATGCGCTCAGCTTTACTGGTTTGATTTGATTTCTACTTCATATATTCTAGTATTTGAATTATATAGCTTATTTATTGGTAAATTTTTGACAACCAACTTTCTTTTGAATCGTTTGCCTCTTGAAATTTACATTGATTTTTGTCAGTGAAATATATATTGTAATAAATATTGATATTCACGAGATGCTTCAACGACGCCCTGAACTCCTATTAATGTATATGGCAAGTTTTGTATCAGCTCTGAAAACACCAATGGATGCTCCAAACTAACATTTTTTTCTGCTCCAAAAACACTTATGGTTGCTCCAAAGTATGCACCAATACATAAAAAGTCGCTTCCATCACTGACTGTAGAGTATTCCAAATCAAGTTCTTTCACTTTCTGAAAGAGTGGTGCTGACACTACTCCCCACATAACCTGCAAAATGCTTGTCCTTTTTTAAATGAAGGCATATTTTGCATTAATACTGTGTATAAAAATAAAATGTTTGCCTAGCATAGGGAATCTCAACACGTCTGGGAGGATGTTAAAGGCTTGACGACACCTGCAAAGTCCTCTTGTCGAAGCATGGAGGTGCAGAGGGAAGCTTCTTGCCTTGCTGTCTTCCCAACAGTATTATTTGTATGGAGGTACATCAGAATGATAAAATGTATGGCAACTCTCATATGTCTTTCTCTAGTAAGTGATAGCATTGTTCTTGTACCATTTTTACTGTCAATATTAAATGCAATTGATGCACCTTTTTCTAACTTTCCATTTCACAGTTATACGAAGTTGTAATCTGTAGAAAGTGAGCTGCAGGGATGATGTTGGGAGCTGCTGGTTACACTATTATGATATTCATAAATTTGAGTGATTAGGAGGCTTTTAGTGCAAAAGTGAACGCATATAATATCTAAGGGTCAGAAAGGTAGGGTTAGGTTTATCTAAATATTGGCTTATTTGTATTCTCAAATGGATGGAAGCAACACTGTTCACAATGGATTGTAAGGTCAACTGGGCAGCTGTCAGTTAGTGGCACATTATGCAAGCACGGTCATGGCTGGAACAGTAACTGAATGAATCCTCTGCCTGCCACCACCACAAATGTCTTAAGTTCTTGTGATGTAACATTTTAAAGGACACTACTGTGCATTACAAATATCTCGTTGAGAGTTCGGTGTAGTTCTGTACAGTGCCCTAGACTCGGCAGTGCATGGCTGCCAGTGGTTTTTGTGCCACTGCTAAGCACTAGAGACAGGTCTGAGGTAGTCTTGTTTACCATGAAAGAGAGAGCCTTCATGACGTTTCGTGGCATAAGACCAATCCAGGCCTCTCTAGTGGTACAAAAAGTGCAGTGCACACAAATGTTCACAAGCTGTGGCATCAAAGAACATATCATGTAAACATGTGTATTATTTCTGCTAAGGGAGCAATGCTTTATTGTACATAAGGTAGTTGCTGTGCTCAATTTCTGGTGCTGACAGGCTCCCAACAATCTCTCTAATGAAGAGACATACCCTGAGCTGCTGCTCATTGGTGTGCATACTCTCATCAAGAAAGCGACTTTCTTTCTGTGTTTCCCCTCTTTATGTCGTTCACTTCCCTCTGCTTCATAATGCTGTGTCTTGCTGTCTTATGGGCTGCAGAAATGTCTTCCCAAAGTTGAAAACTACTGCTTGATCCAAGAGATTAGGCATGCTTGAATAAATGGCTGCAAGTTACACATGTTTGAATGTTTCATTCACATTTCAAATGAATAAAATGTTTAATTATGAAGCAATATGAAAATTAATATTTCATTTTTCTAACCTCTTAAGTTCATACGGTTTTCGCATACCATAAAATGTTAAACTACCCTCGCACGAGCAAGCGCCTTTCTCGCCATATTTGGGGTTTTATTGGCTGTTTTTATGCACCCGACGAGGGCGCACAAATGCTGTCAATGCATGCATATTCTATAAAGGATTCTATTAGCACGGATGTGCATTCTTTATTCCTAGTGGCTCTTCTGCCGCAATCTTGAATTTTGATTCACTACTGAGCAAAGGCCCTCCTAATAGAGTAATTAGCAATGGCGTGATCACTCAATGCAGTTTACGGATATACTGTACTCACTGTAATGTAATGACTTTTTCCATACTTTTGCTATCTAAAGTGGACCCTCTCATTATAATCGAATACCGAAATTCTGTTTTTGTATTGAATGCAGTGAACAGTCTCCCTTTGCATTACAATTGTGGTCCCGCTACAATTAAGTTAATTAGGTAATCGTGTCAGCCGCTGCCGACAACCTGAACACAAAGCCGCATGACTGTAGGTGTAGCAGGAGTTTCTTCCTGTTTTTGATGATGAGCATAATCTAGCATTAAAAGAAATGGTTAATATATGCCTTTATAAAAGGCACTGTGCAACTACAGTGCTGGAATGAATTAAAACAAGGTTCTTGTTCGTGCTTTTTTTCTAACCTTGAGTGCTTTGGTACAATGCTTGTAGCGATCAACCCTTGTGTAATTGTTGTGTATTTCTTTTCTGTTTGCGGGAGCAGGCGAGGTAATCAACGAGAAAGATGCGTGCAAGAGCTGCAAAGGCCGCAAGGTGGTAAAGGAGGTCAAGTACATAGAAGTGAACATTGACAAAGGAATGAGAGACAATGAGCGCATAGTCTTCAGAGGTGAAGGTGACCAACTGGTAGGTTCACTGCCTGTCTCTGTAAAGAAAAGTTATTGTGGGCTGAACCTTCAAAATAATTCCATTTGAGAAAATAAACTTGACCATTTTTGTATGTGTCTACTATACTACAGTTGAACCTTTTGTAAGAGAATCATTGGAAGGCGGGGGGGGGGGGGGGGGGGGGGGAGTAGAGGAGTATCATTTTTAACAAAGTAACATTTCTGATTAATCCTTATTTTATTTCTCCGTAGCCACACACAACTAAAATACGCTGAAAAGAAGGCACAGCCTGTTGAAAAATGTTTTTTTTTATGCCATTTGTTTCAGTGTTATATGATTTTGGTAGATTGCCACACAAAGATCACAACCCATGTTTTCTCATGCATAGCTTTCTTGCACTACTTGGCTGCTGTCTCATTTTTGGGAGTTGGCATGATGGCTTGTTCACACCAGCGAATGTGCAGCTGATAGATAGTTTTGCGTTGTAAAATCTCATGGCGTATTCGGCTGGGAGTTTACAGGCGCGAGCGCTGTCAAAAGTGGCCAGGGCGTTCGGTTGGTAGAATTCCAGTGCTCGTACTATCTTTGGTTGGTTCTTTTGGAGCGTCTGAACTATAACATGAAGCGCTCCTAACCGCTCTTGACTTCGAATCGAGAGCGTGGCAAGATCTGGCCGGAAGGACTGATTACGGGACACAGACAGCATGATTGCGCATTTCAGAATGGGACATCTCCGGACACGTAGTACATACTTGGTGCACATGTATATTGTTTGTGTCGTTTTTGAGCATGTATGTGGATGGTTCATCTACGTAAATATAAATCCATGTCAAAAAGGAGGTGGCTAGTGAAGACAAAGCAAATGTCAATGCTGTTGTTACAGCAACTCGCAGAGCTTGGACGACAGCGATCGGACGAGCTTAAAGTGCTGTTGCTGCGTGCAGACAAGTTTGTGATGGCCACTTAAGGGGGCAGATTGGTCTTAGACATTTTTTGTTTATTTATTCAGTGATCTTGATAAAACTGCACATGGTTATGCAGTTTTTTGTGCTGATTTCAAATATTTAATTAGTTCTCCTGTCATTCACTTTGTTTCTGAGATAACTTAAGTTTGCCCCCTATTGTTTAAGGCCACCATAGAAAAAAAAAGTGCCTAATTAAAAGTGATAGTTAGGATATGCCAACATAGACTAATGACTATAGAGTGAAAGTATGGAAAAGGTTTTTGTTTTTAGGCCTTTATTGGTTATTTTGCAGCAAAATGAACTATACATTTTCAAAAGCAGTTGGAATTGTGTTACAATACTGATTAGTAATTAATTAAAAAGGCATGTGCTCTAAATTCTGCTCCCATACTTGCATTCTACACACATACAGCTTTCCACTGCAAAGAGAATTATTGTTGTACCTGCCCAAGCTGCAGAGATATTGAGGCCTCAAAATTGAATATTCACAAATTTACTTTTTTGAGAAAAATGGAAAAAACTGAAAACACAGTTTCTTTAAAAAGCAACAATCATGGTGTGCATGTTTTGCGATCCTCATGAAGGGGCTCATAAATTAGTAGGAGAGCTCTAGACAAAGGTGCTGGCAAATTATAAAGAAGCCTCAAAGTCGGTTCCCTATTTTTTTTGCAGGTTCTGCATGTTAACAGCACCAAGAATCTGGACAGTTAAAATCACATTACAAAAAAATTACTGCTTCCTGGTGCATGAAAATTTGCAGAGATAGAAAAATACTTGCAGAAACCAAATATGTCAATTTTAAAAAATGAATTTTTTTGTCACTTTTTGGTCCCAAAGAGCAGTCTGCCCCCTTAACAGATTGGCGCCATCGTCGATGCAGCGTAGGAATGTTCTGAAGCGTGGAAACTTGGGCATGTTGGTAGGACATAACTGAATGTAGGAACAGCGCAACCTAGAAGTAGTTACTTCGTAACTACGGAAGCGAAAAAACGACAGAAAAGAGCACCGACTTTCAACAAAGATTTAATATCGGAATGGTATACATTTTTGCCTGTATATGTACATCATTCCGATATTAAATCTTTTTTGAAAGTCAGCGCTGTTTTCTGTCCTTGTTTAGCAAGTGCGTGCGCATATTCTCATCCATTTGGCCGCTGTGCTTAGTTTATCGACTGAGCGGTTGTCACTAGCATGTTCAGGTAAAAAAGAATGCATGCGCAAGGGTGAAGCAGTTAATGAGATAGCAGCAAATCGTAACTTCATACGAAGGGAGGCTGGCAGCTAACTACGATGTGATGCAACTGTCCAAAATGCTGGTGTGCGAGATTGCGGCCACTTCAAGGAGAGCAACACTTTTCGCACGGTCTCTTCGCAATATGTGTTCAGGACACAGAAGTGTATGCGGGCCGCTCGCTGATGACTGCCGAGATAGCCTGTGCGCCAGATATCGCGACCACGCCCTTAGAAGCAGCACAGTTCACAGTTGTTGCTAGAGCACCACCCCGCCTTTTTTTTTTTTTTTTCATGCTCTTCTCTGCTTCGACTACAGGCTTCTTGGGCGGGGGTATCTGGTATTATCCCATGCACCCTCCGAGCACCAGGGAGAGAGGCCGGCCGTTTCGTTTGATCTCTTCAACCGCATTCGCACCCTTGAGGCTATTGCACAATTTAGCGGAGTGTTTGAAAAGGGCAGCAAATTTTGCTTCACAAGTGCTTTGAACAGGGCTACATCTGCTCTGAATTTTCTGGCAGCTCCAAGCTTGCTACAAAAAGCACATTTCCTGCTCGCTGGACTGCCCCCAAACACATGTACTCTGTTCCACCCCTGTACTATTTCAAACCCATGTCAATTCCAGCAGGTGAAAAAAAAGTGAGCTGTCATGGTTTTCAAATTAATGCCAGGGGTAGTACTAGGAAAAAGAGCGAATTTATCAACATGCACATGCCTAAGCTTGTATCTTACATACCATATTTGCTCTCATAATTTGCGCAAATTACGCGAATGTTTCGTGAATGCATCTGAAACAATGTTCAATAATATACCATAAAAGTGCGCATATAGCTCTGACACGCATATAGTCCGGGGTGTAAAAGTTTTCACCCGAACATGGCCAGAGTAAAACGGGAAACTGCAATTCATTGACACACTTCATCCATCGTTGTCGTCGAACGCACACTTCCGAAGCTCCCTTGTCAGAAATGTTCTCCCACAGTACATCAAGCATGTTCGAGATGGAGCACATTCTCAACACGCGGCGAACGAGCGCCTCTGAGATGCAGGCCCAAGCCTCGACTATCCACGAGCACAGAATCGCTGGCGAGGCCCGCTTCAGCTGTCCGGCAGGGGTCATTGGTTTTCTGGACCTCATTCACTCTGCGTACAGGCGCTTGACATGGTCCTTAAATGGCTTTTAAGGCACACATCAAGCAGTTGCAGCTGTGGTGTCATCCTGGGAGCTCACTGTGGGAGTTGCGCAGCAGTCACTTTACGGAATCGGACAGGTGGTACTATAACCCATCAAGCACAAGCATTGAAGGGAGCTCCAGCAGTGCTGCGGGCTGTCGACGCCACATGGACTTTGTCCAGTCAAGAACTAGCGATTCGTCCATCCACCCCTTGTCCTGGCAGGGGACGACAACATTTTTTGGGAACTTTGGAAATTTTTTTTTTTTCGACTGCGTTTTTTGTTTGAACACCACATAGGGTATTAGCTTGCAACTGTGTGCAGTGCAGGACATTAGTCTCCCGCGTTTTTTCGTTCCCTGTCGATCGCACGATAACTTGCCTCTCTGATGGACTGTCAGCGCCGAGGGCATATTCAGGGAGACCGACGTTTGATCCCCATTGCTGATCTGGCCCAGCTGAAATGGGACAGCCTTTTGCAGCGTAATTACATACTTTTGAAACTTCGCAAGGTCCTTTTCGTAGCTTTTTAGTAGCTTTTGCGAGATCGACGTACGCCGATCTAGCGAGAACCCAGTGCTGTGCATGAAGAGACGCCCAATGCTTCCTTGCTTTAAAATCCTCTGGCTGAATGCCTTTGTCTCGGGCGATCTCCCTTGCCTTCGCTTTTAGCAGCTCGATGTTAACAGCAAGATGTGCAGCTCGCTGCTCCCACACAGTTTGAGTTCTCTTGTCCATGTCGGGAAATGCTTCATTTTTTGGTCCACGGATTCGCTGGCTGCTGCAAGCAAAGAGGGCGACCGTCTGCTTCTGCCAACCGCAAATACTCCACTCGTTGACTCCAAACTGCTGTTCCGCAGCACAGTTGCCAATGGTATTGGGTGCCTTAAAAAAAAAAAAGTCATAATTGCTACCGAGTACTGCCTGCACGATGCTGACATGGGGCAAAATTACAGGAGTGAAATCGTTGCCGTCGTTATGCGCACTAATTTGAAGCAAAGGCCACTGACCACTGTTGCATGCGTGTGCCTGTGAGACGCACGCGTGCTATCGTAAGACACGTATGTAAGACACATGCCTGCTATCGTTGCTAACACTACCTAGCACAGAAGCGCGCAAGCACCCGATAATGATCAAACCAAAACTGAGTTTTGGCCAAAAATTCTTGGGACCACCCGCATATAGTACGAGCCCGAAATTTCGTACCCTAAAATCTAGAAAAACAAAAAGGGCTATATACAGGCTTTTGCGGTATACCGTATATAGTCCTGTAATGAACACAGTTGCAAAATAAGTGCGCTCCAACCCGAGTCGTCAAAATCTCGATTTTTTTTTCTTCTGCGTAAGAAACGCACCTCCAACATTCGTCCCCAGCAGTCCCGCTAGCAGACACCTGGTGCCTCCTTGCCCGTTGGATCTTTCGTTTTCTTTCTTAATTTATTAAAACCTTTTGCGGCTACCAAAACTCAACCCCCCCCCCCCCCCCTCTTCGCCGCTGCCGCGGGCTAAATTATTATTTCTATCAGCGCGTGGCACATCCCTTGTCTTTTTTTTATTATTCATGCGCCACAGCGGGGCTCATGAACGGTACAAGTGTAGAAATCTCTGCTGATAAGCACACAGCGAGTGAATGTCTGAAAACATTCCGTGCAAACCGACTGCTGCTTTCTGCGAATACGACACTTAAGGCCCACTCAAATGCCCGTGATTTTCGAGCGACGACGACAGGGTTTGCTGTCACTGTGGCTGTCGCCAAGGGCTATTCATCGCCATTGCCTCGCAAGTTTTTGAAAAACCAGAAAAAAACTCTTGTTGCCCGGAAAAGATTGTTACGATTTCCGCAACATGGTAGCACCCCTGATTCTCGCTTCGGTTTTGTTTGTTGTTCATGCTTTTATTCGTGCATACTTCAAGGAACCAAAGATTTAGGCTACATTTTTCAACAGTAACTTCTCATGTGAACAGCGAGATGGCAGCCATCTTTTGTTTGATCTTATCGACAGTTTGTTTTGGATGCTTTGGTGGTAGTGTGGTGCAATATCAATGGTGTCGTTAGTGCACGCTTCTGGGCGTGCCTGGAGATCATAGCAGATACCACTGTTGTGGTTAAACGACAATTTGTTTTAGATGCTTTGGTGGTAGTGTGGTGCAATATCAATGGTGTCGTTAGTGCACGCTTCTGGGCGTGGCTGGAGATCATAGCAGATACCACTGTTGTGGTTAAACAATAGCGAAAAAAGAAAGCCACGAAACGCTTTTATGGGGTGCGCGTGTGGTGCAGGGACAGCTTGCAGAAGATAGTGCCTTGAACCAATGAAGACGAGTGAAGTGCAACAAAGCTTTTTCTAAACAGCGTACAGGTATGTAAATTGCAAAAGGCTAAGCAACCTAATTTTTTTTTTTTGCCGCATCGCGAGGAAACGGGAAACAGCGCGACAGATGGATGGCAAGATCTAAACTTCCGAAATCAAACAAGTGTGCTTTGCAACACGCACTTAAGAGATTGAAGGGAACAGTTAGTGCGACAGGCCTTCTCATGCCTCTGAATAGTGCAGTGAATATGCTTGTAAGAGATAGAGAGATGGAGGGAGGCAAATGCATACCTGCCAGCTCTTCCGATTTCCCCGTAAACTGTACGAATTTTGACTGTGCTTAAGATTTTACGAATCTAGCCTGAAATTTTTCTAACTATGTCATTTGCAATTAAAAAAAAGTAGTAAGATAGCGTGGCTTCCGCGTTTGGCTACGGTGAATTGCTATAGCTTGTCATGGAGGCCACGAGGAGAGAACAATATGCGTTGGTGTTATCATGATCTGAATGTTCAAGCAGTTTTGGTTTGGGTGTTTGCGTACGGTGTTCTACAGACAGTAGTTTGAGGGAAGTCCTCGGAGGAACGTATTTTGTAAACTCTCGCACAGGTTTTGCCATAAATTGTAGGTTTGTATCGGATTTCTCGTACAGTACTATACTACCAGATGTGTTCACTTTCACAGTTAAAAAAATTTGTGTGCATGGTGGCATCGGGCACACCCAATGAGTTAACTTTTTTTTTTTCTTTTTGTGCAACAGCCAGGAATGGAACCTGGAGACGTTGTCATAGTGTTGCAGACCAAGCCGCATGAAGTTTTCCATCGAGATGGTTGCAACCTCTACATGACCCACACAGTGTCTTTGACAGAAGCGCTCTGTGGATTTGAAATGGTCTTGAAGCATCTAGATGGCCGGGACCTCGTCATCAGGGAAGTACCAGGAATGGTGATCAAACCTCGTGAGTACATTATTTTGTGTGCTGTTTTGATGCTTAACTTGTATAACAAGTAATAGCCATAAAAACCCTAAACAGGTACCGTAATTACTCGAATCTAACGCTCACCTTTTTTCCGGTTAAGCGAGTTATAAATCGCATGCGCATTAGAATCGAGTACGAAAAAAAAATGAATACGGTCATTCTATTGCCATCGCCATTTCCTAAATGGCTGCCCCCTACGTGCGTCGGCATGGCGCGTCGGCCATTTCTGCCTATGTGTTTCCCATGTGCGGCACTTCGTATGTGTGCTGAGGAGTTCGTCATCTTGTAGTACATTAGAATCGACGGCATGGAAGGGAAGACTCCGAAAACTCGACGAGTGCACCACGATGCCGCTTTTAAAAGAAGTCATCGCGTATGCAGAAATGCACGGAAATCGGGCCCCATCGCGGTCGTTCGGAGTTCCCGAAACATGCGTGCGGGACTGGTGGAAACAAAAGCAGAAGATTGTCGACAGCAAAGCTTCACGCAAAGGCTTCACTGGACCACAGCAGGGTCGGTTTCCGCAAATTGAAGAGCTGCTCGGCGAGTATGTGCTTGAGCAGTGAGCGGCACAGCGGCCCGTGACGACAGAACTGCTCCAAGTGCGGGCTATGCAGTTAGCCTTAGAAAAAGGGCTAATGCGGAGCCAGTTTAAAGCGAGCAAGTGCTGGCTAACTAACTGTATGAAGAGGAAAGGCTTTTCCCTACGAAGGTGTGAACGGGCATATGCGAAAAGTTTCCAGAGGAGTACGATGAAAAGTTTCAGTTTTCAAAGATTCGTCCTAAACTTGCGACACAACAACGGCTACCTGCTTGGGCAAATCGGGAATGCCGATCAGACACCTCTTTACTTCGACATGCCTGGCACCGCAACCGTCGATTAGAAGGGGGCGAAGCAAGTTCACGTGCTGACATCGGGCCACGATAAAACTAGTGACGGCAATGCTCTGTTGCACGTCAGATGGGCACAAGCTTCCCCTGTACCTCATATTTAAACGGAAGACGCTCCCAAAAGAGTCGTTTTCCAGAGTGGCGTGATCGTGCGGGCCAACAAGAAAAATGGGTGCGCGTTGCAATCAATGTCTTACTTTTTTTTCGTCGTGGAAACCAGGTGCGCGTTACAATCGAGGGGGCGATAGAATCGAGTAAATAAGGTATTATGTGCTCCAGCCACAAGTAAAGGCCATGTGATGGTGCTGCTGGATGCATGCCAATTTACAAGTGCTTGTGTGCTTGAGCTGTAGCATTTGTAGTTCTTCATTTAACAAAAATTTTTAATATTGGTGATGCTTTATTTTACAGTACAATAGCGATGATGCAAATCTTGAAGAGCACACATAATATTCGTATTATCCCGAATCCATATGAACCAAAACAAGGTAAACCTGGTTATGAAGGTTAACAAGAACATTATTAGTCAGTCGGCTACTAGTTGCTGAAAAAGTTCATGATGGTCTTTTGGAAACATTCCTGGCTGCACTCTCTCTCAACAAAGCCACCTTGAAAGAATAAAACTGTACCATGGTTTCCTCACTCATGCTGCTGGTGCTTAAGGCGCGTTCACACTGGGCCTCAAAGTGAGCAAAAGCTACAAAACTTGCCAGAAATTTACTCGCTTTCTCGCCTAAGTAGCTGGAAAACTGTGCTGCAAAGTCAACACAAAAGAATAAGTCCTGGAGTATTGCACTCGAGAATCAAAGTAAAAACAAACGTCAGAGCAGCCGAAAAACGCTTCTGCGAGTGTCTAAAGCATTCACATTCGTTCTGCCACTTGTGCATGCTGCGACCTTCGTCACTTTGAGAGTTCAGTCTACTTTGCCCATTTTCTGAACATTAAAATTTGTACCAAGTCCTAGTTGTGTATGTATGCTAAGCACTGAAAACAGTTTGCACCTTTTCAAATGTTGATTTGGGAGATACGCCAGCCAAGCGGTGGTGGCGGATTCAGCTGGTTATGCAAAAGTGAGACATGTTGGGGCATGCCGATTCGCTGTTACTGCACGTTCTACTTCCACTATTCTTGGTGATTGTAATCGAAACCAGGCTCCGGATGAACGCCTTCTTGTCAAAGCCGTGAGGTTGGTCATGCTGCAAAGGTAGTTGGCAGATGCGCCAATGCGAGCCAACGCCTTTGCTACCATGTTGAATTTGTGGCTGGTTGTTTACATCACGTGCTTTGAGAACTAGTGCAGCCGAAGCCTTGCGGAAAGGCGATCTGCCGTCGCGTGGCAGGAAAATTGATCTCTGACTGATTTTTGCACGTTTGCCTTGTGGCATGGTTTTTGGTTACTAAGGTGGTGAAGCGAGGGAAATTGGGGTGACTTTTGGGGTGATCTTGGCCTGCTTTTTTTTAAAATGAAGTTGAAGACACTAGTCTCGATCTTATCAAGACTGTCAAGGTGCGACAGCCCGGTTCCTTCCATGTGGCCGATACAATCGCGAATGACACCGAACGCTGCTGCCACTTGAGCGGCGGAGTGCACGCGTGTAGCCAGCGCCTCTTCCAGACGATCCTCCTCGTCACATGAGCTGTCGGCCTGGGCATCCTGGGTCCCTGCGACCGCAGCTACTATGTCCTCGTCGGCGAGGCTCGCAACGGCCTGGACATTGCACTCCGCTTCCACGAAATCGTCCGCAGACACTTCGTGTAGAACTGCTGCCGGGAAGAGTGACAACTTGCGAAATGCGTCGTCTATGCGCTTGTCCTCGCTGTTTTCACCAGTTTCCGCAAGTTTTACCGTCTCGAAGCCTGCCTGGCAGAAGCAGTTGATCACTGTGTCCGTCTTCACGTCTCTCCAGGCATTGTCCACGTGAGAAAATTTCATGGCGATTTTCGGCCACTTTGTCATCCACTGCTGGATGCACTAGCTGCCGACAGCTTCGCTTTCGCCATGAATGGTAGTGCCAGCGATGCTGTAGCGCTGCTTAAACCGGTGAAACCACCCGCTGTTGTCGGCGAAGTAGTCTTCACCGAGTGCAGTGGCAAACCATTTGGCCTTGGCCATCAGAATCGGGCCGTACACCGGAATGTTCTTCGCGCACACTTCTAAAAACCAGGCATAAAGTGCCTTTTCTACATTTCTGCTCACATGACAGACTCTCGGCATTCACTGCTCCGCTGCCTTTGCCTTGATATCTGCTTTGTTCTTCAGCAAGGTACTCGGAGTGCTCCGTGGTATCCTGAAGTCGTCCGCGACATTTGATCATTTCTTGCCCGCCTCAACACACCAAGTAGCCTTCAACTTCGCCGCGCAAGTCAAGGGTCTTGCGCTTCTTGACGCTGGCCATTGCTACACAAGAATTTGACAATTCAAGGAGTCCACAGCTGCTTTGCACACCACTCACGCAAAAGAGGATTCTGCACATGCAATGGTACGTAGACGATGGCTGCGTCCGCGTGCAACAGCAAAAGCCGAGAGCTGTGGTTGGCTGATCAAAAACACTCAAAACAGCAACAAGAAATTAAAAAAAAGCGAAAGGCGGAAGACGTTGGCTTCTTCGTTCCTGCTCTCCGAGCTGACGGGTACGCAAAGAAAGCATAAGAGAGAGAGAGAAAAGGAATGAAAAAAAGCCGTTCCACAAATTGGACTGTGGAGTTCCAGCCCTCGCCTTCACTTTTCATGGAGCGTCTCGGGTTTTGGCGGAGGCGTGGTGCCGCGCTGTTGCTAAGATCGCGGGGCGCGGCGAGTGTTAAAGCCCACCTTCCAGCTCGTGCAGCGTTTGATATATTCAAGGCGGGTAAAAATACCGTTCAATATACCCGAAAATTTGATACATGTTGGTTCAATATATCTGTACTTGACTGTAGAGCGTAGTTCATTTGAAATAACTTGAAGTCCGTATCATCACTAAATTCAGATTAAGCATGATCATGTCATCGAGATTTTGCTGTATTGTTTGTCTAGTTCTGAATGTGCATCTAGTGGTCGCATGCTTCGTGCATGTTTCTGTAGTAGTGCAATCTAATCCCACTACAACGAACGCCGGTTCATAATTTCTGCTACAATGGCAGTCGCGATACCCCGTCAATGGCCCAGAGGAGTTGATGCATAATTATTCTTGCCACAAAGAACACTTTTTTTTCTGCGGTTTCGATGTAACGAAATTCAATGATGCAATTTGCAGCTCAGATATTTAATCCCATGCAATAAACACAATCTTGAATGTTACGAGGCATTTTCAGAACATAAAATTTTCTACGAACTAAAATGCCCGTTGGCACCACCAGAAACGCCGCTGTTTACTAAGCATGGGGGCCGTCATTGCTCAATAGCGATGGCAACGAGACTGCCCTGCTTTAGCCACTGGCTTGCTACTGAGCCGCAGAAAACTTGAAGCTAAAGCTCAATCACTTAGTTTTCTACCCGCTGCTGCTGGGTGCAATTTCGGAACGATGCTTTTTCGGATGCAAATCCTTTTTGTTCTTTTCGTGCTAGGCCAGTATGGTATCTGGTCCGAGAGGCTATTTGTTGGCATTATCAGACAGTTATAGTTTAGCGTTAGCGTGATAGCATAAGTTAAGGGAATGGCATTACCGTGCAGCAAAAGTTCGTTGTGGGCAGCGTCTTATAGTTTAGCAAAATAGCGCATACGTGGTTTACGTGCCCAGATGGGATGGTGGCGCCACCTATTAGATGGTTAAAAAGTTAAACAGTGAAAATGAATAGAAAACGAGAATGTGTGCCTATGCTACTGCGCAAAGCATTGTTAGAAGTTCAACCACGCACTGAACGCGAAAACCTCTACGTTGCCGATTTGTTTACATTGATCTTGTAGTTAGGCCTAGGCGCGTTCGAAGTGGCAAGCTATCTCAAAAACTACGCCAACTTATCTGTAATCGATGACTGCCAGTTGGGCGTGTTGGTAATGGTTCATGATGAGACGAGCGCAAAAACTACACACACTCAGAGAGGACACAGACAAGCGCTTACTAGCAACTGAAATTTTTATTTCGAAGTGAACACTAATAAATACATCACACGCACGTACGTCACTCCCAACTTCCCCTGTCATCATCAAAAACGTGATATTACAAAATATGCACGCGCCCACAACCGGATACAAACACGTACCAAGAACTAAGAAAAAGAAAAAAAAAAACGTAACAGATAAAAACACTGGGTTATGCGACGTCCAAAAAAGCAAATTCCGCACCTGTTAGTAGAACTGACGTTTGGCTGACGCAACTGTCCCCTCCTTTCCTTATTCTATACGCTTCCATTATTTCTCTCGTCGTCCGCTTGTTGTGCCTGTCAATTATTCGTGTGTCGTAAAATTTCGGTTGGCATGTGCATTCTTTGCAGTGCATCGCTAAGTGTGAGTAAGGGCCCCCTTAAGTGAAGGGGCCCCCTTTATCTGTAATACTCGGTCATCGAAGCTAACTGAAGGCAAGTGAAGCCACTTTCACCTTGTCCGCCGTTAGCGGCGGACAAGGTGAAAGGGATACGACGTAACTGACAGTCCCGAAAGTGCGTGCGTCCAACACTCAACCAGTCAAAGCAACGCTGCTTTCCGCAAACCCTGCGGACAAAACCGCAGCAGATGTGATCGTAGAGGGCATAAAACGACTTTGTTTTGAAGGTCTGTGCGCAGTCAAGCAAGCCCACGGGGATGGAAAAAAAGGAACAACCATTTGCCCCAACCGCCCCGCAGAACATCGCGGCCGCGGCGGCGCGATAGTGATCTACGAGCCCCGAGGGCACGCAGCGGTATACTAAAGGCAGTCAATACGTTAAAAAAAAGTCAGTTTCGCCGCAAGGGCTAAGCAATGAATGCGACGGCAACAACATGGAATGTCACACTGAGAACGGCGAGCAGATAGAAACACGCAGCGCGCTGCTCACGGACAAATGACGCACGAAAACAATACACTCAAGATGAGAGCAAACTAGCAACGTTTACCGTTCGACACGTAACGCGCTGTTTAAACAAAAAAAAAAAAGCGATGCTCGAAACATGATCTCGGGTGCGGATGAGTGCAAACAAGTGTTCCAGTTATACCGTGCTGTGTATGAAAAGCGCGCTCTTTTCGGAAACGGGCCCTGTGCATAGACCGAAGATACCTTTGTGGGCCCGGCAGCTAACGCAATCGTTCCAGTGGAAGCCGAAGGCACACGATGCTCTGCACCGAAAGATAAGCACGCATGCACAAGCATACCCCCCCCATCTCTGCAGGGCAAAGTACTCGTCAGAGATAAGCGCACATCGTGCATTGCGAAGAGCTGGGCACTGAGCGCGGGCGGCTTTTTTTTCCCTTTCTAGAGTGAATATATATATATATATAGATAAGTATATATATACGGTGAATGACGGCGGTGGCGGTGACGGCAAAAAACCAGCCTAGACTGTCAATAATAAAGGGGCCAGATGCGTTTTGGCGTTCCTGTCACTAGAATCTAGTAGAGAGCAAAGCTTGGACCCGCACTTTTGTGGCATCGTTCGGTTCGTTCACGTGTGTCCCAGTAAGACATATACAAGCTGTTTTGAAGGAAATAAATTCTGCTAGTTGTGTTGATCCTTTGAGACTCTCACCTTAGAGGGAAACCTACCTTCGTGTGTTCGGCCACTCCAAGCAGACCGCAACGCTGATGTTTGCGCTTGCGATTGAAACCTTCCACCCCCACCCCTCTTGTTTTTTGCAATGCTTTTTGTTTGTTTGTTGGTTGGTTTTTTGGTGCTTGGTTTTTTTTTTTTGTGCCGAAAAAAATAGGAGCAAATAATTCAGCCCCCCCTCTCCCCGCTGCGGAAATCTTCCGGATTCAGAATCCTTGAACTTGGCAGCTATGATATATAATCTTAACAGGTCTAAAAATGAAAAATAGGCACCTGAGGCCCTTAAGGAAAAACACTTTGCAAGTAAGCAAATGTTTGAAACGAAGCACACGCATGGTAAACTGCGATGCTTCTCAACTGGTATAGAGAGCTTTGTGCTGCTACAGCAATGAAGCAGTTGGCAATTCACGATTTTAAGAAGTCTGATCAGCAGTAAATGGCCATAAGCTTTTGGTATTTACACCTCTGCTTTCTGTTCACTGCATGCAGTTAGAGCTTAAAAACACTAAAAAAATTTTTAATGTGATAAAATCAATGCCTAATCATAATGTGCTGTCACCTCACCAAGAGTCATCTATCTAAGAACTTCTGATAATTCAGACTTATTGATAATTCAAATGAAATTCAGCAGTCTCTTCGAGTTTGAAATAACGAGTCGACTGTATAACTATTCGTTATGACCATATATCGGTGCGCTTACAATTTCCCTATGCTACCCTTTGAAACAGTCCACATATAGTAGTGAAGTTGTTGAAGCCTTCTACTTCTACAACGAACTCTTTAGGCATGGTTGCGATAAAAATATGGTGCATATGAGGCAGAAAAGAAGTCAAAACAGGCATTCTAAAGCGCGTGAGAGGGGTGCATTCCTTGCTGCAGTTAACTTGTGCCAAAGATGTAGATATATACTGCAGCGAGCACTCGATGCTCATTTCAGACATTGCTAGTGAGGTTGCTTACTTCTAAGGCATGTCTTCATAGGCAGAACTGCAGTGACGGGGAAAATGTAGAATTAGGCGGCAGCATGAAGACTTGCAGTAACCTTTGGCATGAACTTTTTGACGCCGTTCTTTGTATGTACAGTCGATTTCAGATATATCGAACTCGTAGGGGATCGTGAAATAATTCGATATATTGATAGATATATTGATAATTCGGAATACAACATATGCACATTTAAGGCCTAAATTAAAGGAACACTAAAGTCAAATAACTATTTACATCAGAGTGAAAACTCATTGTATGACATCTAAAACGACAATATTATCAACAATGCCTTACTTAGTGAAAAATTAAGGTGCACAAGAGCTAACATAATCATTCGCTCACAGTATAATGAACAAGGTGTGAACAGCAAGTTACCGTGATAAAATAGCCCGTAAACTTCTCTTGTTTCTTGCGCACTGTAAAGGTTGTCATCCTCAATATTATTGAACCTTTTCAAATAAGTGAATTCAGCTCCTTCGGCCACAGCAGCATTGCTTGACGCAAAATGTCGATGCAAGCTTTGAAGCGCGGCAAAAGGCTGGTTAGCGCCGGCAGTAAAGGCCTTGGCATATTCATAACCTCACGGGTACACTTCCACGGCACTGGCACTGGGAGCCGTTATCTTTGCATCGATGCAGTCGGAAACGGCTAAGTCATCTGCACCAATGAAGTCGTTCACTGTTTGAGATGGTGCTCGGAGACACTGATAAGTCACAGAATTCACTGAGGCACCGTACACCGTGTCAGCAGTCATCACGTAACGTACCCAGTTTCCACCTGGCCAGGTGACGATGCACTGTACACCGTTGTCGGAAGACTTGTGGCCCACGCTTTTCTGATGTGTGGATTATAGCCAGAAGCAAAGATAAAACAGCCAGAGAACTGATGAAAGCATTTTATATCTGGAAAAAAAGGGGGGGGGGGGGGCATGTGTGTTAGTGACACTACCATACTACCGTATAAATCTGAGGAAAAGTTTATTTAGCATTCGTTGCCCAACTAAATTTCTGCACAAGCACTTGAAAGGATACATACGTATGTGTATCTATGTGAATAAATCAGTTGCTAGTGGCACTCTGTTCTGTATCCTGTCTTGCGATAGTATTTTTATCGTTCCTTAAAATAAATTAGCAGCTCGCCCAACAAAGTGTTCTCTGGGACGTTAAACACTCCAAACCCAACAGTTAGTGATTTGGTCAATGCTGGCATTTTTCTGATGCATTTAAGTTCGGATTGGTGAGCTTTTAATGTACTATAGTTAAGATATGAAATGCATAGTAGTTCCTCGCTAACGGGTAGTTCCTTGCTAACAGGAGTGTACTGGCAAGAGTTGCTTTGATTGAATTTGCCTTGTGCAGGATCTATAAAGGGTGTCCGAGGAGAAGGGATGCCCATTTATCGGAATCCTCTTGAGAAAGGAAACCTCTACATAAAGTTTGATGTAGAGTTTCCTGAGAATCACTTCGCTGGTAGAGAAGCCCTTCAGGTAAGCTATTAGAAATTATATGGCATAATTTTCTGCTGACTCTTTCTCATATGGCAACTTTCTGGTGCTGTCTGATAGATAAATGAATAAATACATACTGTATTTACTCAACTCTAACTCGTACCCAATGCTTTTTGATGTAGAACTGACGCCTCCTTTGGTGATTAAAAGAAAAAGTATAATTTGTCTTTATAGAATGAGAAATTTATTCTTCTGGCTGTTTTCTTCTATGACTAATGGCTTACAACACTTGTAGTACGCACAAATTTTATGTGAATTCAATGTTCAGTGTTATTGAGTCCTTCTGGTGCATAGACAAGAAACGTCATGTAAATTGTACCATATGCCTAGAGTCTGTTCAATTGCATTGTAAATGAAGAATGGTGCTATTCTGCTTTTGCTATTTCAATTTGTTTGCTGTGTAATACGTAGTTTGAGGGTTTGTTGGGGATCTTGTCAGCAAAGCCAGGTTATTCAATTGGCAGGCAATTGAGGTCTTCCTGGGTGAACAGCGGAGTGATGACTTCGAGCAATGGTCTGTTGGGGACTCTGTGGACGTAGTGGATCTTCTCGATTATGATCCCAGCAGCCAGAATCGGCGCCAAGAGGCATACCATGAGGACGAGCAGCAGCCACGAGGCAGCGTGGAATGTGCACACCAGTAGTTGCAGACCAGAAAGTTCAGCCCAGTAAGCATGGACAGAGTAGCAGAGTGTCCTTTGAGAAAGTTCGAGGAATGGGTGGGCTTAGGGAAGCTTTCTCGTGGATGGTGGACTCTGCACTGGAATCGGAGAGCAAGATTCCCAGTTGCTTTGCTTCTGCTGTTCATGTTGGCGGAGTATAGCTTATTCCACATAGCTTTCTTGTTTTCTCGTTAGTGTTGAGCTTTTTTTTTTCTGTACTCTTGTAGCCAATGTACGTGCATTAATTGAACACATGCTGCTGGAGCCTGCTTCCTTTCTTGTAAGCCAGTAGCTGTACCATGCTGACTTTCCAAATTTCTGGGTTTCATTTTCTGATCTTTCCCATGTAACTTTTCTTGATTTCAAATGTGCAGCAAGGTCTTGTCCAAAAAATAAGACTTGAAGTATGTTTCATATGTATCTGGGATATGAAAAGTTTGAATGCTGTCAGCCTCACGTGTGCGTTTCTTGTGAAATAATAAAAGACCTAATAAAAAATGCTCTGCCACAAAAAGGTTTACAACTGAATGACTAGAAAGTACAGTGTCAGTTATAGCTGTGTATCTGTAGTTCACATTTACAGTTAAACCTGGAAGAAAACACTTACTTTAATGTTCAGTAGTGGAGTTTCTGCACGAAAGACTTCACTGCAGTTTTGCTTTGAGAAATGCCGTTTTGTAATGGTTGCTGGTACATTAAATCGTTCATCTTCTATGTTTTCTTGAAACTCTATCAATTGAGCTTCCTTGCAATACCTGCTGGTAAAGGTTAAGGGAATTGAGCATTTATTTTATTTTATTTATTTTATTTTTATTTCAAAATACTGCCAATCCCTCAAAGGGATTATTACAGGGGTGGGAGTTGATTTATACATGAATGTACAGAAGTAATGCGGAGAGCATATTATGCGCTCTGTAATAAATAGACATATACACGTATAAACGAAAAGACACACTCTAAATTTACACACAGCAAGAGATTAAAACAAGCATACTACATCCATATCACAATAACAATAACCAGAGTGACATGTGTCTGTGTCACACAGCTCTCTCCACGAGTTCAGAGAATAATTCTAGCGTAGGCTGAGTAACAGTAATTTCATCTAAGGCATTCCAGTCTCTTACAACTCGTGGAAAAAAAGAGAAGCGAAATACATTATTAGCAGGACGAAATTCTTCTAACGTGAATTTGTGTTTGTGTCGCGTTTCTCTGGCAGAGCTGTATGTAACAAATGACCTGGGGTTGATCTTAAAATTATTTTTTAACAACAAATATAGGAATTTCAATCTGTGCACTCTCGCTCGGTTAGACAAGGTAGTGAGACCAGCCTGCCGAAGAAGTTCTGTTGGGGAATCGCTACGCCTGTAGCGATTGAAAATAAAACGGACAGCTTTCCTTTGTACGCGCTCAAGCGCAGCGATGTTGTATTTAGTGTGTGGAAACCACGTAATACTGGCGTATTCCAATGTCGGTCGGATAAGACTGGTGTAGGCAAGAGAACGTGTTTCAGAGGTAGATCCGGCAAGCGATCGTTTGAGAAAGAACAATTTATTCATTGCTTTTTTAGAAATTTGCTGCACATGCGCATTCCAGCTTAGGTCACTGCTTATCGTTACACCCAGATATTTGTACTGTGAAACATTTCGTAGTGGGGTGCCGTTGATACTGTAAGGAAAGGTAAGTGTTGATTTTTTGTTAGTAATGTTCATGTAGACTGTCTTTTCTGCATTTAACACCATTTGCCAGTCTGAGCACCATTGAGACACTTTGTACAGAGAATTACTAAGTTTTGTTTGGTCATCTTCAGTTTTGATTGTGTGGTACAGTACACAGTCATCTGCAAATAATCTAATGTTTACGTCGACGTGCTTAGTAATATCGTTTATATATAGTAAGAATAGCATCGGGGCTAATACAGAACCCTGCGGTACACCAGATAGAACGGGAACAGTATCAGATACATGGGCATTGTACTGTACGTACTGATAACGGTCTGAAAGATAATCTTCAATCCAACGTGTGAGTGGTCCTTCGCCTAATAGACATCTTAGTTTATAGTTAAGCTTCAGGTGGGAAACCCGGTCGAAAGCCTTTGAAAAGTCCATAAATATAACATCTGTTTGTAGTTGGCTGTTAACATCTTTGGCAAAGTCATGAAGCGTTTCTACTAATTGAGTAACAGTCGACAGGCCACTGCGGAACCCATGCTGATTGGGGTGTAATATGTTGTGACTTTCGACAAACTCTGTTAAATATTTCAGGATGATATGTTCCAGTATTTTGCAAGATGTGCATGTCAGAGATATGGGCCTGTAGTTAGCAGGGGAAAACGTATCACCTGATTTATGCACGGGTATTATCTTTGCTAATTTCCAGTCAGCTGGAAGATGACCAACGCGAAGTGACTTTAAATATATTAGCTGAAGGAATTTGCTTACAGGCTCAGCGTACCGTTTTAAAAAGGCATTTGGAATATCATCTGGACCAGTGCTTTTCTTTTCGTCGAGGTTTAGCAAGAGGGATAATACACCCGCCTGCGATATGAAGGGGGTATCTAATGGTGTATCTACGCCACTTGGTCTGAACTGGTCGCGTTGAAGTAGGCCATTATCAGCGGTGAAAACAGACTGAAAGTAGCTGTTGAAATGATCGGCTGTCTGTTTTCCTCCCGGGGTAGGCGTATAGGCTTTGTTAGTATGTTTCACACTTATGTATCGCCAGAACTTATGAGGCGCTGTTTTGATAAAACTGTGTAAAGAGTGACTGAGAAAGCGCTTTTTTGCCAAATTCACTTGTTTCTTAAGGGACCTAGCTAGTGCAGGGATTTCCGACGCAATACAACTGCGTGGGTGAACTTTCTGAGCTTTTCTGAGCCTTTTTAGTTTACGCTTCATATGAATTATGTCGCGCGTGATCCATGGATTGTGCTTTTTGATGCTTTTTGTAACTGTTGGAACAAAGTTGTCTATGCAGTGCCTGACAATATTACTGAATGTTGACCATATCATATTTACCGTTGAGTGTTCATTTGAGTAGAGGTCCAAAAAGTTGGAAAATTCGAGAGCAAGGTATGTCATGATGGCAGCGTCGTCCGCTCTTTTAAAAGCAGGTACCCGTTTTGTTGTAGCTTTCGTATGAATAGCGCTTGGATATTGCAAACAACACGAGACTATTTTATGATCAGATAGGCCTTCTAATGTTTCTACGTTAATAGGATATTTTAAAAAGTGATCACTTACAAAAAAAAGATCTAGAATAGAAGCGAAAGAGCCTTGATTACGTGTAGGAACTGTAACAACTTGTGTGAGGTTAAATGTGAACATGATATCAGCAAGCACGTTACCAGTCTTCGTCGCCAGATTCAGCGAGTCCCATTTCACTTCAGGCAGGTTAAAATCACCTGCTACAATGATTTTTTTACCGCGAAGAGCGTGCGTAAGCATATAATCGTACAGTGCTTCTAAAAATGAAACTTCAGCATCAGGTGGTCTGTAGACGACGCCAATGTAGGTTATTTCATCCTTGACGTAGAATTTACACCATACTGCTTCGATGTCAGATGCCATGGGCATAGCTGTGTAGGGAATACCGTGACGAATTAATAAGGCTACTCCTCCTCCTCTCGTTTTTCTGTCCTTGCGTAGAATCGCATACCCTGGCGGTACTACCTCGTGGTCTAGGATACCGGAATGCATCCACGTTTCAGTGAGCGCTACAATATCAGGTTGATAAGACAGTAGGACAGCTTCGAGTTCATGTGTTTTATTGATAATGCTTCGACAATTCACATTCAAAAGTGTCAACGTGGATGGTTGCGAGTGTGTCGCGTTTTTGCGCGTCTTTGTTCTTCGTTTTTTTCAGCCTCAACGATGTCATTTCGTTCACTGTCCCAGGAGAATAGGCGGCCATTTATGCGAACTTTATCGTAAACTAATGAGACCTTCTCGTGGCGCTCACGATTGACTTTTGTTTTTTGCCACAACTTTCTTCTGATGTCACGAATTGGCTGGGAGAAGTCTTCGCTAATCGAGAAGCCTGTGTCTTTGAGTCTTGAACACCGTTTTAGGATGTTAATTTTGTCACGGTAGTCCAATAGCCTTAGGATTACTGGTCTTACTTTTTGTTCGTTACCCGGTTTTCGAGCACCGAGTCGGTGAATTCTCTCTATTCCTGAGGTAGTGAATTCTAGTATATCTTGGAATATATTTTTCGCAACCACATCGTGTAAAAGTTTAGACGTTTCATTCTGTTGTTCTTTCACACCATAAATGATAAGGTTAGATCGCCGGCTTCTGTTTTCTAACTCGTCGACTTTTTTCGCCATAGCCGAGAGACCGTTTTCCAGCTCCGATATTCTTTTCGTGCAGTCTACTATTTGTTTTTCAAGCCCGCCGATTTTCTCAATCTTTTTATCTATTGCATTCAACTTTTCGTTGATTTCAGTTTTTCCGTTCTTAATTTCCTGAATGTCTTCAGCTATCAGTTTTAGCTGTTCTGCTACTGTAGGTCCCGGATTTTCTTCGATGTCGCCACCGAGAAGCAACAAAAATGTTAGAGAATTAATGACATCGTGTAACATTTCACACAATAGCGTTATGGACCGTGGGCACGGCAGCAAAAGTAGGCAGACGTCATCGCTATGATAAGATTTAGCGTTGCGTTTTCTCACCTGCATGAAAAACAGCAACGGGTTTGAGCACTGCATCTTGGTGTTGCTGCCGAGCCCACTGCCACACGGTCCTTGCGGAGCTTGCTTTATAGCTGTGATCCTCGATGCCGATAGATCTGCCGGTTCCAAGAATTGTAGTGTAGCGCCGCCCGGGACGCCATCACATGGCCGGTAGCGAAGCACGTCATGGGGCGGTAGTCCTTCGATCGTCGTGTTAGGCGCTAAATGTTGCAGCTGTAGCGCATCCCATTGTGCCGCTGTTGATGATAACCGCAGCAAGCCAAGCAATATCTGCATGAAAAACAGCAACGGGTTTGAGCACTGCATCTTGGTGTTGCTGCCGAGCCCACTGCCACACGGTCCTTGCGGAGCTTGCTTTATAGCTGTGATCCTCGATGCCGATAGATCTGCCGGTTCCAAGAATTGTAGTGTAGCGCCGCCCGGGACGCCATCACATGGCCGGTAGCGAAGCACGTCATGGGGCGGTAGTCCTTCGATCGTCGTGTTAGGCGCTAAATGTTGCAGCTGTAGCGCATCCCATTGTGCCGCTGTTGATGATAACCGCAGCAAGCCAAGCAATATCTGCATGAAAAACAGCAACGGGTTTGAGCACTGCATCTTGGTGTTGCTGCCGAGCCCACTCAGCATTGCTCATTTTTCCACTGTTTTAGTGTTCTTAGCATGTGAGTGTGATTATGAATCAAATGCCTTGGCTGTTTGATTCATATTCATCGACAGTGGTCAGTATTTTAGCTTCTCTTTTGTTTCTGTTTGTATTTATAAAAGACCACCCAACAGATCCTGGGGGAGACTAATTTTCTTTCTTTTAGTAGAGTTGAGGGGCTCCAATTTAAGCAAATGCACGAGACCGACTACTGCCGCAGAGTAATTTTTTCTATTAGAAATCTTGATGTTGGATTTAAAGAGTAACAAACCATTTCTTGGTCATGCGAATCTTTTGTCACTCTAAAATGATGCGCTGTACAACTTTCCATTCATGAATGTAGCACACGTGCAATTGGTAATGCATTGTTCCCCTTTGCGATGGTAAGT